TGATAAGCGGCGGCCGCGCTGCATTTTGTCTTGAGGCCATTTCGTTTAATTATTTTGACAGACACTTGAAGATAGCAGCGGGAAAACTCGAATGATTTTTCATATTTTGCGCGCAGGCTAAGCAGATTTAAAGTGGATGTGTGACAAGGCGTGGCGCGTGTCTGACGCCACAGATGTGGCAGCAACCACAGCAGCAGCAATAGCAGCCGCAGCAGCCACAAAGTGACATTATAAGCACACGGAACCACCAAATGCTGACGAGTGATCTGTGGGGGGGCTGTGCGAAGATGGAGGACTGACTGGCGGCGTCTGCAATTGAAAATTGAAGTGCTAGTCAAGCAGCGCCAAAGCCAATTTGGTCCCGCATGTTGTCTGGCTGCCAAAGAAGCCCCCCCCCCCTCCGCCTTACCCCTCAACCACTCCGACGGGCAGACCGCGCAACGCGTAATCAAGAGAAATTAGTTTTGGACGTGCTCGATTGGCTGCCTTCGGCGCATCTTCGTCTTTGGGTCTAAGCTCATCGTGTTGGCTAATTTTTGAAAAATTGTTCAACAAAGTGGCAGCCACGTTTAAAGTTCTGCCATTTGAAGAGCTTGGCCAAGTGCTGCTGGCAGCTTTTCTTAGATTTTCTCTGCGTTTTGGGCAGACCGGAGTCTGCGCTGCGCCTGGTCTCTGCCTGGTCAATTGTTGTGCCGTTTGATTAATGCCTCCCAAATTTTTGGCTCTTGATTTTCCGAGTGCATTTTGACATTTGATGAATTGCATTGCCACAGCCGCCTTTTCACTTCCGCTTCCTTCTCTCTTTCTCTCTCTCTCTCTGTCTCTCTGGCGTCATTTCCATCTGTTTCACATTGCTTTTCACATTTTCCTCTGCGCCATTATAATGAGGTTTCAATAACTTCATTTGTCTCTGTCGCTGCCACATTTGGCTTGTGCCCCACAAAATGTTTGACGTGCTTTTCGCAAGCCATGGCACGGACCAAAACTTTTCTAGTTCTGCGTAGAGTGAAACAAATGGCAACAGCTGGTAAATGCAAGCAAAAAAATTGCATTGATATCAATTGAATGGGACGCAAGTATTTGATGAAATATTTCTCTATTCAATTTCTCTGCATTTTCATAATTATAAAGATATAATATTTGCTGCACATGGTTCTATATCAAAAAGTTTTCAATTTGAAATTATTGTAGCTAATAACAAATAAATTAAACTAAACTAAAATTTGGAAAATCTCTTAGCACTTCTTGAAACCTTTTTTTTTTCTGCCTCACTTCTTTCATTGCAATTTCCTCCAAATTGGTTAAATCCATTTCTACATTTCTAATAATGAATTATTTTTTTTTGGTATATTACTAGATTATTATAAAGTTTTATTTATACATTAAACAAGCGTATCCATGTTTTGTGAAGCTTGTAAAATATTGATTGTTAAAGATATATCCACAAAAATAATATTTTTCAACTGTCTAAGCTTATCGCTTGCATCTATATTGAAATTAATTCGAATATTTAAATAGGTAACTAAAATTTTAAAATTTTTTCCACAGCAATTCAACAATTTATACGTAAATTCAAATACATTAAGTAAAATTTCACATTTCTCAGCGCTTCAATTGGCATCGACTGTCGGATTGTGTACAGTGTTACATGACAACAACGGACAAAACAAATTGTTATGCTTGTTATGCATCCACATCCTTCAAAATACACAAATACAGCGCACACACACGCACAACTTGGTCCTTGTGCTGTGGTGTTGCGTCGAGCACTTGACATTATAAATGGCAACACATTTTGTCTACAACGGAAACGGATATTAGTTGCAGCCAGCAGCAACAACAACAACAACAACAACTAAACGCGACATTTCGATATATATGCAACGGGCAGCATGAAGTTGTTGCTGTTGTTGTTATTGCTACTGGCAGGACAACAAACGTTTGTCATTCGACGGCAATGCCAACGCCAACGCCATATTGCAATTTGGCAACGCCACGTCCGACAGAGGGCGCCACATGGCGTCGCACTTTAATGGAGCATTGATAAACGAGGCCCCCAAAACGAATTTTCCAATAATAAAAGACGGCGAAAAAAATGAAAAAGAAAGCAAACAAACTATAAGACGGCAAGGCAGACTGATAAATGAAGCTCAGCCTTGTTGCAATAGCTGCATATATAGTGTGTAAATCGGCTGGAACTGCCGACAAGTGCCCGGCAGTGTACTTAATTTATATGGCTGGCAAATGACCAGCAGAGGGCGCCACTCACACACAAATTTGGACAACTGCCCAAAATGGCAACAACATTAAGGAAATTATTTTATAGGGCGTAATGTTTTTATGGCCCGCTCCAAAATGGACAACAATGAGACACAAAATGGCCACCTTCCTCCCCCTACCCTCCTCACCACACCACACCGCAAACGCCCAACATTAAAGCGAGCCAAGCGCAAAATATTTACGCACATTTTTGTGAATAATTAAATAAAAATGGTTGTTACAATAAAAACATTAGCATAAAATTCATCCGCAAGTGCCAATAAAAAAAGAGGCTAAATATGCAAATGATGATCATTTTGTCCCCTCTCTCTCCCGCTCTATATATCCCTCTATCTTTCTGCCTTTCGCCCTAGTCCTAATTGACATTTTGACTGCTAGCAACAACATTGGGCCCAAAATTAATTGATTGCCACGGGCTGCTGCACGCAGCATTCTCTAATTTGTGTTTAGTAGCATGTGGCATGTTTGTCAATTACTTGCCACAAATGTTGTCCCTTCACCCGACTGTGCTGCCTTTTGCTCGAGCATTTGGCCAAAATGTTTGCCTATAATTTTCGTTGCGGCTCACAGTGCGTATGTGTATTATTTCCGGGCTACTCTGTAACTGCTACGTGCTTCAACTTGGCCAATTTTTGGTGCTGCTCTTCCAGCTAGCTTTACGTGTGCGACATTTTCGAATAGCCATTGTAATTATATTGATTACAACTGAGAGAACTCTCTAGCTAAAAGAGAAATTAATTTTTATTTCTTTTTTTTTTTTGCAGAGCAACGACTTAGCGACTGAATGCAATAGCGTCCAGTATTGTGTGCCTGGCATTTTAAGTGACCCAATTGGGGGTGGATGGAGCAAAATTGCCTTTATCCGAGCAGGGGAATAAGAATTAACTGTGCGATAGATTGGGTGCATATTAAGGAATCATCTAAAGAGAATGCTGAGGCTGTGAAATACCGTGTATTAAATGCCATGAAATTCGCTGGACCAAACACTTTTTCGTAGCTAGAACGCTTTTTGCCTTAAATAAATTGAATTGGTGAATGCATTCGTTTACCTCTATTCACAATTTCGCAATGCTCTTAAAGAACTGCTAAGGCATTTGCTTAAGAGCAAAAGATTCGTTGCAGTTGTACAAGTGCAATGATTAAATCGTCAAGCGACAGTAGGTTAACAGAATAAGTTAATATGATCGACTGCTTAATAAATACTATTCGTTCTTTTTCTACCTAATTGTATTTATTTAATGGCGCACAGTAGCCTAATGGGGACAGACGAGTGGCCAACTGGCCCGTATTATAAACATTATTTTCAATTTCATTGACCCTAATTGAAGTTAGAAAAGAATTAATAGTTAAGAGTTTTAATAATTAAGTTAACCTCACATTCAAACTTGCCCAACTTGTAAACAAAGTGTTTCTTCTCGTTTCAATTAAGTTTTCTTTTAATTAAGACGACCAACTGATGAAGGGATTCTATTCAATATACACTAATATACTCTCGTATGAGAGTATAAACTTGCTTAATATTTCCAAAGCAAAAATTCCCTGACAATAGCATTAAGCAATTTAAATAGATTATCTAATAGAATCGATAAGAAACCGAAAACTTTCAATTGAATTCCCTTCAAATATCTGAGGATTGCAGTTGCTACTTTCTTTTCATTTCACTCTCACCTGTCATGTCCTAGGACCTGCCAGACAACATCCAACCCATTCCCAAACAATCACCCATAAATTCGTAACAAAATCACATTTATCCAGTTGCCAAAGACGTCAAGACGACAAAGGCATTCGGCGTTGCTCGTCAATAGGCAGCATTTGTGTGCTGGCTAATAAATTTTCCACAACATTATTTACAAACTTAAGCGACGTGATGCGATTTTTTAATATCAATATTTGATAAGGGGCGACCGCCTGCTAACAGAAGCCCGCCCCTCACACCATATCAGAGTACGAAAAGTAGCAAAAGTATCAAATAAGCAGAAAATAAATGTCGAACAATTTTCAGTTAAGAACTCAAGATCGCAAAGCCAATTTCGTCCTGCTGTGTATGTGTGTATGTGTGTCTGTGTATGTCTGTGTGTATTTGTTTAAGGCCTGTTAGTAGGCCTTCGCAGGGGGCGTGGCATGGCGCTGCGACAACGACGCTGCCGGCATTACAAATGAAGAATGACTTGGCTCGACTCGACTCCACTCGGGCTGACTTTGACTTTGACGTTGCCGCCGAATCAAAGTCGAGGGCGCCTAAATGTATCCACAACAACAACAACAAAAACAACAACTTCAGCAACAACAACAAGGAGGAGGATTCAACGCACATGTGGCGCTTGTTTTTCCCGTGCCGCAGTTTTCCATCCGCAGCCGCCGCCGTCTGTTTGTTGTCAAAAGTGTCGCGGGTTCGTTTTGTATATTGCGTTTGCTTTGCACGTTTTCATTTCCATTTCCATTGATTCATTCATTCAGTTTCTATTTTCTCCGTGCGGCATTCAGTTCCGCTTTGGCTTTTGGGCCATTGCTCGATTTTTATTTCATTTCCAGACATCCAGCGACGGTCGTCGTAGACGTCGTCGTCGGCATCTGAACTTTGGGTCATTTATCAAATTTTCAAAGTCACATTTGGCGTTGTCACGCTTGTGAATTGTTCCTGTTTCGGATCTAGCCCCAAATAAATGGGCAGCAAAATCGAAAAGGCTTTGGATTTCAATAAAATAAAAAAACAAAACGAGAAGCAAAAAATTGAGACGTAATGCATAGAAAAAAAATTGTTAAGTGGGCGCCGGGTGGGAACATAATGAGTCGTAATTTCTGGCAAAAGGATAGGAAAATAAGGAAGCCAATGGAAGGAAGCCCTAAAAGGAAAGCCTAAGAGTGTGCAAAAGGATAAATAATGGATAAGAAACCAATTTCTGGTGCGTCTTTGGGTTTCTTAAAAGCTGTTTAAATCGTCGAAGTTTAAGCTGCAATAGTGGTAAATGGAACATTTGAAAATTTCAGAGCGTTAATTAAAATAATATGACATGGAACAGCAACGAGTTAAATACGGTATCGTAATAAAAATATTGAATAGCAGGACATGAAATACAGTGGAACAGTGGAAGTCGGCTCTTAAATTGTGGCCCATAAACATTGAGTGGGACGGTTGAATTCTGAAAGAGTGGAAATGGGTAATGATAATTGAGAACATGAAATTTTAAGGAATGAAAAACTGTTGCAGCCGAGGTGTCGAATGCAATTAGTGGAAGATTTTTATTATGGAAATGTATCATGGTCTAGAGAACTAAAAAAGCAGACAGAATGGACTATGGAACAGTGAAAAAAGCAACAAGGAAATGAAGCAATCAAAATAAGCTATTTCTACTTTATGATATTTTCAATCTCAGCCCGGAACTCAACTATATATTATAATTTTAAAGTATGTATACGTAGCCATAACCACATCTAGACTCAACTGTAATTCGCCAGTAAATGTAAGTATGTTTACATATCGTTCCCAATTGCTTTGTCTTCTAACTGCACATGCTTTTGCATAAATTTTAATAACCCAAAAAGCTTCCTTGATGGCGCTACAATGAATAATGGAGCCCGGCAACGGGCAACTTTATCACCTGTGCATAACATTTACATAAAATACCCAGCAACAAGAAATGAGCAGAAGAATATATATAAAATTAAGCTACACTGTACAAAAGCGGCGGCAACATTAAATAATAAAAAAACAAAGTATCGCAATAATTTTTAATTTATTGCAGAATTTTCATAAAAATGACAACAACAAGCAGAGGAGCAAAAGGAGCCTTCTACAAATTATGTTCGCGTGTCGCCTGGCATGGCATTTTTATGAGCTGCTCTTCCTCGCTGTCACGCATAAATGACACGCGTTAATTACCTGGAAGGCAGCAGGATGGTGGGCTGGATGGTGAGTTGCAGGGGCAACTGGCGACAGGAGACAAAGCGTAGCGACGGGATGTCCGCGCTGATGAGCGCGTATGGACATAATATTGTAATTAGTTGACAAGTCACGTAATTGTTTTGCGCTAATTTTTATACCGGTTTTTTTGTACTTGTTTTTAATTTAATTTTGTAGGCTGAGTTATGATTTTTATGAGTTATATTAGCAACGGGTGGCAAGACAGGTGGCTATGCCAAAGGTTTTTGTGGCGCTAGATGGCAGAAGCTGTGGCAGAAATGTATATAAAAAAGGGTTCACAATAAAGATACCACAAATCAAACTATCTTTTAGTCTTTTTTCTAGTAGCAACTAGTTCAAGCGTAACACTTTTTATCTCTATGCAACAACAATTCTGATTCTGTTCATTGGCTAACATTTCTGTTAAGCTGCTCTCATGTTAATAACATTAACAGAATCGCTCAGTCATGTTAACAGCAACACAATTTTGATTAGAAACGAATCTTTTAAATAATGTCTCCCATCCGGTTGGGAAGGAATTTCAATTGTTAACTATTTTAAATAGCTAATAACACACATTTATTTTTTGTCTTTTCTACATTAATTTTGGTCAAAATTCATGTGAAAATAGTACCCTCAAATATCCTACATATACATATATCCTATATGGAGATATATGTCAAAACTTCCCACTCCCATAACTCGGTCAAAATTCAATTGATTTTCAAAAGGTTTGGCTCTTTGCTCATGGTTTGACCGCTCAATCAATTTGGCATTCAAATCTGACAACATTAATTTTGGTCAAAATTCATGTGAAAACGGTACCCTCAAATATCCTATATATACATATATCCTATATAAAGATATGGGTCAAAATTTCCCACTCCCATAACTACGTCAAAACTCAACCGATTTTCAAAAGGTTTGGCTCTTTGCTCATGGTTTGACCTCTCTATCAATTTGGCATTCAAATCTGACAGCATTAATTTTGGTCAAAATTCATGTGAAAGTGGTACCCTTAAATATCCTACATATACATATATCCTATATGGAGATATAGGTAAAAATTTCATACTACCATATATCGGTCAAAACTCAACCGATTTTCATTAGGTTTGGCTCTTTGCTCATGTTTTAACCTCCTAATCAATTTGGCAATCAAATCTGACAACATTAATTTTGGCCAAAATTCATGTGAAAATGGTACTCTCAAATATCCTTCATATACATATATCCTATATGGAGATATATGTCAAAACTTCCCACTCCCATAACTCGGTCAAAAGTCAACCGATTTTCAAAAGGTTTGGCTTTTTGCTCATGGTTTGTCCTCTCTATCAATTTGGCATTCAAATCTGACAGCATTCTCTCAAATATCCTTCATATACATATATCCTATATGGAGATATATGTCAAAACTTCCCACTCCCATAACTCGGTCAAAAGTCAACCGATTTTCAAAAGGTTTGGCTTTTTGCTCATGGTTTGTCCTCTCTATCAATTTGGCATTCAAATCTGACAGCATTAATTTTGGTCAAAATTCATGTGACAGTGGTACCCTCAAATATCCTATATATACATATATCCTATATGGAGATATAGGTAAAAATTTCATACTACCATATATCGGTCAAAACTCAACCGATTTTCAAAAGGTTTGGCTCTTTGCTCATGTTTTAACCTCCTAATCAATTTGGCATTTAAATCTGACAACATTAATTTTGGTCAAAATTCATGTGAAAACGGTACCCTCAAATATATATATATGTACATATATCCTATATAAAGATATGGGTCAAAATTTCCCACTCCCATAACTACGTCAAAACTCAACCGATTTTCAAAAGGTTTGGCTCTTTGCTCGTGGTTTGACCTCCTAATCAATCTGGCATTCAAATCTGACAACATAAATTTTGGTCAAAATTCATGTGAAAATGGTACCCTCAAATATCATACATATACATATATCCTACATGGAGATATAGGTCAAAATTTCATACTACCATTAATCGGTCAAAACTCAACCGATTGTCATTAGGTTTGGCTTTTTGCTTATGGTTTGACCTCTTAATCAAATTGGCATTCAAATCTGAGAACATTAATTTTGGTCAAAATTCATGTGAAAACGGTACCCTCAAATATCCTACATATACATATATCCTATATGGAGATATAGGTCAAAATTTCCCGCTCCCATAACTCGGTCAAAACTCAACCGATTTTCGAAAGGGGGGTCTTTGCTCATGGTTTGGCCTCTTAATCAATTTGGCATTCAAATCTGACAACATTAATTTTGGTCAAAATTCATGTAAAAATGGTACCCTCAAATATCCTATATATACATATATCCTATATGGAGATATGGGTCAAAATTTCCAACTCCCATAACTCGGTCAAAACTCAACCGATTTTCGAAAGGTTTGATGTTTGCTCATGGTTTGACCTCTCAATCAATTTGGCATTCAAATCTGACAACATTAATTTTGGTCGAAATTCATGTGAAAACGGTAGCCTCAAATATCCTGCATATACATATATCCTATATGGAGATATAGGTCAAAATTTCCCGCTCCCATAACTTGGTCAAAACTCAACCGATTTTCGAAAGGGGGGTCTTTGCTCATGGTTTGGCCTCTTAATCAATTTGGCATTCAAATCTGACAACATTAATTTTGGTCAAAATTCATGTGAAAATGGTACCCTCAAATATCATACATATACATATTTCCTACATGGAGATATAGGTCAAAATTTCATACTACCATATATCGGTCAAAACTCAACCGATTGTCATTAGGTTTGGCTTTTTGCTTATGGTTTGACCTCCTACTCAATTTGGCATTCAAATCTGACAACATTAATTTTGGCCAAAATTCATGTGAAAATGGTACACTCAAATATCCTATATATATACATATATCCTTTATGGAGATATGGGTCAAAACTTCATACCCCCATAACTGGGTCAAAACTCAACTGATTTTCAAAAGGTTTGGCTCTTTGCTCATGGTTTGACCTCTTAGTGAATTAGGCGTTCAAATCTGACAACAATAATTTTGGTCAAAATTCATGTAAAAATGAGTAGTACTCTCAAATATTCTACATATATTTATTTTCTTTACTTATAAACTCTACATCTAACTTCTATTAAACTTTACGCACACAATCATCAATCAAGTGCAGCTGCTCAAAGATAATCATGTTTCAGGCTGGCTGCATTCAAAGCTCATCAAATAACCCATTAAAAGTTGGAAGCACAATCCGCTCAACAAAAATGTAAACATTTGTTGGCGCTCTGTATAAAACATATATCATATCATAACCATGAAATGATGAAAAAAGAGCTGCTGCATTCAGGCACTCGAAAATGCTGAACGCGAGTATTTGCCTTTCGTTTGGCTTGGCCGCAGCCACTACTACTACTACAACAATCCCTCATTCAGTCAATCAGTCAGTCATCCAGTCAATGCAAACGCTGCCCGCTGGAGTCTTGTGTCAATATTGACGCACAAAATCCTTTTAATTTTTGGAAAGTATTCAGATTTTTAGTACAGCGCGCCACGCGTTTTCATCTAATGAAAAGCTGCGCAAACAGCTGAGTCAGATGGGGTCCTGGCTTGGGGTTAGCTCTAGGTTTGGAGTCGAAAAGGGGGGCGTAAATGTTTTATGGCTCGAGCAAAGTCTAAGCCTCTAAACTGATTAAGTTTTGATTGCAATTTGCAATTCGATTTTCGTAACTGAAAACTTTGCTGCCCGCTCTCCCGTCCCTTCTGGTCGCTTCCTTATTGGAGCCTGTCTGCTTTCTGGGTGGAAGTTTTTAATAATAATGTCGGATCATTAATATTTCAATAATACCGTCTGGCTCTGGCAGTCTATTTAAAGCGGGCGGCAGCCCCTCCCTGCATGCGTCTCTGTCTACGTTTGCTTGTTGCATAATTGACTTTGTCGCTTGCTTTTTCACTCCGACATTGGCTTTGGCATTGGCTTTGGCTATTTCCTATTATTTCTTTATATATTTTACTAGCTTTTTATGAAGATGGGAATGTCCTTTATGTGCTGCCACTGCAGACAGGCTAGCTATGATTTATTATGCGGCTTTTGCGCTGCCTTTTTCTTTTCTATTAGCCACGTTTTATGCGGCTGCTGCAGAGACTTTTTTTACGTGTTTCTCTTTTTCCTACGCTTTTTTTCTACTTTTGCGTTATTTTTTGTACTTGTGGTCCTAAACGCTTAACTTGTCCTTTTCAATTTCGCTGGCAACGGCTGCTGCCGCTACGTTTTTCCTCACTTTTTCTCGCTTTTCCTTTGGCTATTACGTGCTTAACCCAACAACTATGTTTGTTGTGCTTTTCCGCCCCTTTTCTTATTCACTTTGTCGTGTCATAAATATTTGTTGTTATTCTCGTTGTGATTTGATGTTTTGCGCGCTCTTATTTATTGTAAATATTATTATATCTTGTTATTAAAAAAAGAAGAGAGACGAACAAAGGCAAGAAAAGCAACAAGAAGCTGCTGGGTTTCCTGCTTTGTTCGTGTCGCCTGCTTTTTATGCAGCTTATTGGCAAATATTGACAATCATAAATAATTCAATATATCTTGCTACTAATACAAAGACTTTATACGCATAACAGCACTTATGAATAAATCTAATTGTTTGTGCAATTAAGTCGTACAGATATTTTTGAACAAAAATGCTTGTATTAGTCACTTTTCTTTAAAAGTTGTTTGAAAAGTTATATTAAACGACTCGTGATGTTTTAAATATTTATAAAC